AGGACTTCACTTGCCAACAATTTCAAAAGAGGTAGCCAATCCCTGGCAAAGGCTTGTTGTTTATTAGCCTCTGGTGTCCAGTGGGCACTCATGCCTTGCTACATCTCCTACCACTCTTATCAGAAACACAGATCCTCAAGGTTTTTTTTAAAATTCGGTTTTTATATTAGAGACTTTCCAGACAATCGTGTGTGTGTGTGTGTGTGTGTGTGTGTATGTGTGTGTGTAAAAACCCATAAACACATGCATAAGAAATAGGAAATGCTGCATTGTCTCTGAGAAGTAATTCTAATAAAGGTTAAGCCTGTAGTCCGATTTTAACTGATGATGGGCAAGATGTGTATGTTTACTTAACTGTTGAGATGATAGGAGAACAGAGCTGGCCATTGCTGTTATTATTTCCTGCTCAGCTCTCTAATTCTCACATCTATTAAAGAACATGATACGGCAGAAATGAATCCTTGAATACAGTAACCCATCAGTGTAGAAACAGTCTCCAAACAAAACTCTCTTGCAGTCCCAACCCTGTGCATTATAATAAGAGCTAAAATATATTTTTTACTCACTGTATGTTATGCAATGATGTGAGTGATTTATTTGTATAAGTTATTCCCTGGGATGACCTGACAAGGCAGGCTCTGTCACTGTCCCCATACATTGCTTGTGGATTAACAAATAAGAATTCAGAGAGGGGTTATATAGCTCAGAATTGATAGAGCTGAAATGTTGGCTCAGCAAATCCACTTCATATCCCTGACTACAGAGCATGAGACAATGCCTATAAGATGTGGTTGATTGTTAATGGTAATATTTAAAATGGTGGCCCTGATCTGGCTTGTTGTTACGGGGCCACCATGTTCCCGACTAGGCAAGGCCTGAGGCCATGAGCATCAGTGTTCTCCCACCACTGCTCAGCTCAGAACACCAGGTCAGGCAAGCCAGAAGCAACGGCCTTGACACCCACAAGACTCCAGCATGGGAGATGGCTCTGCCAATCTACCACACTGTCTCCACAATGCTTGGCTGAGCCCAGACCATTCTACCATCCACACAGTACCTGGTATAAATGAGACTGTTATGCTTAAAGACTATCCAATAGCTTTATATATTTGGTAATGCTCAATTAACAAGATGCTCACACAATTAGAGGTGTTTCCCAATATCTAACCTTAAGATATAAATCGTGACCCAGGACCATCCTGGATCCGTGGTTCTCCATGGCTCCTACATCTCTACTCTCTCTGCTTCTGACTCCTCACTCCTCCTACCTCCCATACAGTCCAATCACTGAGCTTTATATAAATGTAATGGGAAGATATCCCACTACAATTCATGATCTCAAATATGAGCTTAGATAACAAGCTCTTGGGAAATAACCATTCCTACATATGCAAGTGGACCATTGTAGGAATATTTTAGAAATTCATGGGAGAGTACCATCAAGTTCTAGTGTCTGTGAGACTCTGACAGTACATCTTTCTGCAAGGGACCCTGGAAAAGTGTGATAATTCTTCCTAGGTAAAGATTTTGTAATCTTTCTGGAGTGTTTCTGAAGAGTGGTAGTTAATCACTGTTATGCCACAGTATCAAATGCATTTAGAAAACTAAGACTGAGTCAGGGACTCCTATAACAGGCCTGAAATTCCTTGGGGATAAAGCTGGCAGAACAAAGGCCATGAACTACAATGTGGGGATGCTGGGAACTAAACTTTATTCCTATGTAAGAGCAGCCAGTTTTTAATTCATTCATTTATTCATTCATTAAATCAATCATTCATGCTTGAGAAAAGTATGGCTCTATTTGGAAGATATTCTGTGAAAACGAGAACTTTTTATCTTATAATCCTTATAAGTTCTTATCTTTATTCTGCAGTGTGGTATTTAGTATTTTGATAGCCTTTGTGATCTTATAAAGGATTGACAGTAGTTTTATAGGATTTTCTTTCAACTGATCACTTTCTGTCATGTCAGGGTGTCAATCAGCATGACAACTCTTTCTAAGATTGTTTTCCTTTTCGGTGACTATGAAAGTGAAGTGAATGGACTTCTTCCATTGTGGACTTTTAGTGCATGGGACTTTATTAAGAGGACACGTGATTTCTCATTCAGTAAATATTTATTAAGTATGTGCCATGTGAGGATGACATGACAGCATCCAATGACACAATAGCAGCTTCACTGGGAGCAGGAGAGGTGCTGTGACCAGAAGGCTGCTGTTTACACTGTTCCTGTATCTCCACTGAAATTGCTACTCACTGGGTGATGAAGCACATCACACTGTGAACATCTGTAAGAGTCATGTTAGGACTAAGTAGACCACTGTCTCATTTGGGGTTATTGTCTTTGTCTTTTCTCTCTATGTCCATCAAGCTTTGTCCTTATCTTCAACTTTGGGATGGGTTGAGCTAAATTGCACTGATGGACTAAAATGTCTGATTGAATGTTTATATCTTGACAAACACGGCTCTTAATTTTCTAATCTGGAATTAGCTCTGGAAAGACCAGCCCTAGAACAAAGCAAAGGTAAGTTCAGTATGGTCATCTTACTCACATAAGACAGACACTCTGTGCCTGCCTTTGTGGCAAGGAAAGTAGATGCCACATCAGACAAAAAGTTTCAATAGTTCAATAGTCAGTCAGTTTCAATAGTTCAATAGCAAAATGACCCTATGGGGGTTTTTACTCCTGGCGGGTGCCTTTATGTGGGTCATGTGACTGATGACTGACTGTAGCACCTACCCCCTTTTGGGGAGTCATATGACTGATGGCTGACTGTAGCATCCATTCACTGGCTGTCAACTTAGACCTCATTCTGAGACAAGGTGAAGAAAGATCTCCAAGTGACTCTGTAGATTGTGGCATTCATGTCCATGACAGGGACACACACTTAGTAGGTATGAAAGGCATCCCTAGTGCTGGCTGATGCTATGGTGACATTTCTGTACATGGCATACTTCATTTCTTCTGAGAGTCTGCAACACTTGTTCTGAACCCAGTGCTTCTCACATTTCACTACATTTGTTGATTTTGGTATGTATTTTTAAAAACCATAATGCTATCTTCTTCCATGAGAATGGACAAACAAATGATGGTTGATGGTGAAGAAAGAGATTTTCTTAGTGGATGCAGACATTGATATATGCAAAAACACCTACAAATAGCCCCCACCCCACCCATACCTGTATCAAGAACCCTAATGAAATTCGCCAGGTCACATGAAAGCAGAAGAGAGCATACCTCCAGAGAAGAAGATGGATAGGGATAGAAGAGGGGTAAGAAAGGATAACAGGGGCAAACATGATTGAAATATATTTAGTACACTTAAGTACACATAGAAAAGTGTGTGGATGAAACTCATTATGATGTATAATTAATATATGCTAATAAAACCATTAAAATCAACATCAAAGCTCTATTGTATTTATTCCTAACCTCCAATGCTTTAAAGGCTAGTGTTTTCAATTCTTGCTATGGTTAAGCAATAAGAACTAAATAACATGTGTATATAGCCTCCATGTTTAATTACTTGGTTAATGATTACATGACTCTTGACCATTCAGATAGGTTGTGGTATGTGCCTGCTGTGCATGAGTATTTGTCTTCCAAATTTCACTTGCTTTTACAAAGTAATTCACCTCTTTGAAACTGGAGTTGTGAGAACAAGTCAGAAAGAGAGCCATGAGAAAGAACACCGTGTCCATGCATAGAATAGGTGACAAGGACCTTGTCACCAGTGTTCACCAATTTAGATTGCAAAGTTAACTCTAATTTTGTAATCTTACTTCTCCAAACAATTTGTCAGTCAACTAATATATCAGAGGCTTAACTCCATCTACAAATTGAGAGCAACCTGGTAAACAGCAAAAGAGTCGTATGTACTTTATGTCTTTTATTGGCAAAGTCATGGTCATTCTGAGGGCAAACTGGGATGGCAAATACTGTCCTAGACAGAACCCACATGGGGTACAGTAATTGACATGCATTCTAGATTTGAGAGGCTATAACTGAATTTCCTTAGACTTATTGAAAGTGAATCCCATTAACTTTCTAACTTCTGGGTCATTGTATTTCTGGAAGGATGACAGCATGAAGACAGAGGAAGCCTTGACTTTGGGAAATACTGGTTACTGGGAGAACTCCTTGATTCCCAACCCCTTCTGTAGGCATTGAAATATGAATGCACTTCACAGTCATCTAAAGGACAGGGAGAGAAAACTTACTCTAAGCACTATAACTTCTCTATAGAGACTCTGTCAGGACCCCAGCTGCCCAATGACTCTGCTTTTGTTCGAGTACAAATCCTATTACTGAAGAAAGGAGTCTTGATTTCCAATCTCATTAACTTGGGGATATTTTTCCATCTGTGATTATGACTTTCTATTGTTAATCTACTGTTATTTTTAGTCAGACAGAATGTTTTCGCTGGAATAATAAAAAAATAAAGATAATTTGGTTTGCTTGTATAACCACTTAACTCTTAGTTGAGAATCATTAAGCTTCTTCCCTGAGATTCACTGGATAATTTCCATATAACGTTTACAGTGTGGCTTGCTTGGTAGCATTGGCAGTTTTGGATCGGGGCTCCTGGTGCTGGTTTTATAGACCTGTATACTTTCATCAAGCCATCTGGCTGGAAATCATGAGCAGAGGGAGGTTACCCAGAAAAAAAGTGATGTTCAGTTAAGTGAAGTGTCCAGTTGGAATTTTACACTATATAAAAGTTTACTACATGCCAAGCCACCAAGCGACACTAGTGAATTCCATGCACATTGTGAGGACGTGGTTCAGGGCTATTCTATCTGAAGGACTTAAAAACCAGAACTGTTTAAGGAAAACACATGGGCATTCTGCTCTTAGGGCCCTCTTTTACTGCATTTTCTGTTGTGTACAGAATTGTCTGGATAGCAATGCCTGGTAGTAACAACTAAGGTTGTTGTTTTCCTTGAATGAAGCCTCTAACAATTAAATGTATTGTCTATTTTATGTTATTGTTGTTGTAGCAAAACCATTTGAAAATGGACAATATTTGGACATTTATGGAATTACAAGAGACCAGGCTGGGGAGTATGAATGCAGTGCAGAGAACGACGTGTCGTTCCCAGACGTGAAGAAAGTGAGAGTGGTCGTGAACTGTAAGTCTCTTTCCTTTATCACCATAACTATTGAGAAATGTCTGAAATTGCTGTGGCTGCTTTGTTATTCATATTGCACACACACACACACACACACAAACAAACAAACAAACAATCTGTGTGTGTGTGTGTGTGTGTGTGTGTGTGTGTGTGTGTGTGTGTGTG